TTTTTTAAATTCACAATCTCCTCATCACAGGCAGGCACAGCACTCAATTCAGCATGTGTTCGTGTTTGTGTGTGCTGCCTGCGTCACTCAGAGCACGTGCTTATATCGTGCACATTTCTATATCGAACACCTTTTTATATCGTTATCAAAGAAGGTGTACCGTCGATAAATATCGATACCGTTTTATCGCCCATGCCTATATGATATGGACTACTTTTATAATGATTTCATGGTGCTTTTATAGATTTTATCACCATTTACTTTCATTACATGGAAATTATTCAAAACATCTCATTATGCATTTCACAAAGTCGTCATCATCTATGTTAGGAAAAACAAATGTATAATGTTATAATTACAATAAATTAAATACAACTTTTAAAAAGTTACCATTTTGGTTATATTGGAGGTATAAAGTGTTTTTATTTTTTTAATAGTATGAAATATATAAGAAAGTGCAAGTGAAATGTCAACACTGTAGAATTTAACCACTGTATTTTTAAATTAACCCAATTTACTGAGACAAACAACAAATATTTTTTGTTTTAACAGTCAAACACAAAATAAAATTAAAAAAATATCTAATTTCTAATGTTTTATATGCAGATTAAATAGGTATTAAGGAAACTTTTGTCTTGTCTCCCGAGGCCACAAGAGGGCGCAATAAGCAAAATAATGCTGCGCATTAAATTGTCAACGCAAGGAAATAGCTGTCTATAAAAAAACGTGCATTACGTCTAAATTAACTCATATAAATCAAATATAATTTCGTAAATTGCATAAACAACTATGTACAGAACAGCATAATGTATTTATGCATTGCTTAATACAAAGAGCCGAATCGCCCATCACACAGATTGCATTTAAAAACATATGAGACGCAGTGAAAAGGAATAAACATCCACAAATTTGTGATGGGTTTTCTAAAAGTTTAAACTGTTTTAAAGGGATAGCTCACCCAAAAATGAAAATGTGATGTTTATCTGCTTACCCCCAGGGCATCCAAGATTTAGGTGACTTTGTTTCTTCAGTAGAACACAAACAAAGATTTTTAACTCAAACCGTTGCAGTCTGTCAGTCCTATAATGTCAGTGGATGGGAATCACGGCTTTGAGAGTCATAAAACATACACAAACAAACGTGAGGCGTCTTCTTCTTGCTTTACGGCAGATCGCAGACTTATAAGTGCATTACCGCCACCTATCTCTCAAATGGACCACACTCCCAATTGAGATTGTAGATAGAGTGTCAATGGTCCATTTGATTAGATAGGTGGCGGTAATGCACTTATAAGTCTGTGACCCGCCGTAAAGCAAGAAGAAGAAGACGCCTCACGCACAGGCTGAAGAAGAAGACGCGAAGGCGCTCAGGACAGTTCAGGCATTGCGGTGAAAATCAGAGGTAAAACAGCAGAAAAAAAAATCCTTATACGAGTCCTGGATTGAATTTTGTTCAACATTTTTTTTAAACATGTTTTGCAATTATCTGCAGTGTTCTCTCAGTACTCTTTTATATATAAGTGCACAAGTTTCTTCTGTCAGGGTGCATAAAACACTGAAATAGTGCTAATGATTCCGTTTCACTTGCAACCAAGGCCAGCGTTGCCTTTGTAGATCATCATAAGCATTCATAAATCACCTTCATAAACTATGTCAGTGGCCTCTGAACCAATCAGCGTGATAACCTTGCACCCAACTCATTTGAATTTTATATACTTCTCTGCAAATGTGGTTTTGTGTAGGCTAAACGGATCATATGCTGAATGACACCATGACGGATATTACAAGCAAGAAGCTAATTTGTCTTGGTAAATATTGCATAAAATAGTACGCCATTGTTTTAAATCACTGAAAGAATTGGTGTACACATTAACTCGCGTATGGACAAAAGAGGAAATACTAATTTTTTTTAAATATTTAGTGCATTAAATTTCCAACTTGGATAGTCAACATAGCATATGGGTTGGGTGCTTTCTTCAATGTAACCGGGCCGCCACGAGTGACAGAAGAAATCATCACAGGCCACTCAAAGAGTTGAGTTCAGTTGACGTGTGAAATCAACTTGGACAAATGAATTCGGACACGTGATTGAGTTGCCTGTCGAGGCGGTAACAAACCGGACAGCGCTGGACCGTCCTTGAATTCAGTGATGTCAACATCCAGCTCAGTTTAAATAGTATCTTTGCAATCATGTCAACAATATCGCTGGAAATGAAGTGTCCATCTGATTCTGATTCACAAGCTTTTGTTTAGATTCAATTCAGTTTTCCATTTGTTTTGATTCATTTTGATTTGGTTTTATGTAATTTTCATTCAATTCTGAGTCATTCTGTCATATTTCGGTTATAATGTTGAAATATAAAACAAATCCTCTTTCGGCTATTGCTGTAAATTATATAAGGAATCTTTATATTTAATATTAATTATAATATATCATTACTACTAGATTTTAATAGCATTTTAAAAATTAACAACATGACCCACAGTTAACTGCTATTTATTTATCAGATGAATATATCGAAAAACTGATATTTAAAAAGTTTTGATTTTATGTTTTAGTTTTAATTTAAAGGTGACCTATTATGCCCTTTTCTACTATATGTAATACAAGTCTCAGGTGTCCCCAGAATGTGTCTGTAAAGTTTCAGCTCAAAATACCCCACAGATCATTTATTATATCATTTTGAAAATACCTATTTTGAGTGGAAGCAGAAACACGCCGTTTCGTGCATGTCTCTTTAAATGCAAAAGAACTTCTGCTCCCCACCCCCTTTTCCAGAATAGGACTGTGCCTTTACAGCTCATACGTCAGATACTCTGATAAAAAAAACTAAACTATCTGTTTGGTTTTGATTATCATGCCTATAGCTCTGAAATCATGCATTTTATAGCCATATTAGTTTAATCTTCTGATATAGGGTTTTCTGAGCGCACACATCCGGAGCACGTGCACAGAAAGAGGCTGTCACATGGCATGTGATTTCTAAACTAAGTTCTCTTTCATGTCTTATTGCGCTTAAACTGTCAAATACACACAAGTTTATGTTAAAAACACACAAGTTACAAAAACAGTCTGTTATGTTTGTGAAGGTAAACACCTGGGAAAGAGATTGCATGTTTATATTAAATCTGTGTGGCAGCAGGGTAATATATAATAAATAAATAAATCCACTGCTCTCTTGTCTCCTCTGAGGCTGGGACTCTAAATAGTGTTCTGTGCTCGTTTGTGCAGCTAACGATAGAACAGTTTGCATGCTTTGCTCGAACTTTAGCCATGGCATTAGAACTGGTATACCGTTGTCGCTTGCGAAAACAGAATGGCGGCGCTGTCACCGTGAGTGGAAACGTGCAAATAAAGGGGAGGTGATATTATAATAAGATCCCATTGCCACGTTACGAAGGGAGCGAAATCTGACGCTCTTGTTTTTTCAGATGCTTGCAGAAAAAGGCTTACCAAAATAAAGTTACTGGGTTAATCTTTTTCACATTTCCTGGGTTGGTAGATGCACCGGGGACCCGGTTATAGCACTTAAAATGGGAAAAAGTCAGATTTTCATGATATGTCACCTTTAAAATAAAGGTCAACCAATAGTGGATTTTACCGATACCGACTGCTAGGTTGGACCATATTGGCCGATACCGATTAATCAACCGATAGCTTTTTAAATGGATACTGAATGAAAACTAAAATAGTGCTTAACTATTTAAAAAAAAAAAGAGTACTGAACCATACTTTGTAAATGAATAAAAATAGAATTATTATATTAATCATTAAAGTTAGCTCATAGTTTCATAGTAAATGAACAATGTGACATAGATGAGTTTGAAGTTCAGTGTTTAAAAAAACAGACCAAATGGAAAAATAAAGCATACTTTATTAGAGCCATAGAAAGACAAACGTTTAGCTGAAAAAATGAACAATACACAATTTTACAGCCTAGGGTGAAGTCATTATGTACATTAACAAGGAATTGGGACAAATATAATGTAATTTAATGGAAAACTATGTGAATGGCGCTGTGTGGCGTGGCAGGATTTTCCGTCGTCTGCATTTAAATCGACATCTGAAGTGTCCTGCACTATGCAGGCTGCCGCAGCCTCATGTATCAAAACATACAACACAAGGTGTCAGTGATTTCCGCCACTATAGGCCGCTCTTGCACTGTATAATGACAGCGGACCCTTCTCAGCAGTTCCTTCAATGGAAAAAAAACCTGAAAAACTATCGCCATGGAATTTTGATAGTTCCAGCACTCAACTATCGGTGCCGATTATTTGGCAAAACCGATATATCAGTTGACCTCTTATTTAAAATAATTGATTTTATGTAAACCTGTTATTATAATAACAATGTTAAAAATTATTATACATTGTCATTTGTTCAGACTACACTGGTTGCACATTTTTTGATTCACTAAAAATAACTGGTTCATGAGAATAATTTGTATATGAATCAAACTACACCGTTTACTCAGCATATTATAACTCAATAGATTTCCACATATGCCATTAAAATTCAATTTGGACCCAGGGAAAATTACGTATTTTGCCGTGGACTGGTAGATTCAGTAACAGAAACAGATGTGCTGCTGCTGAGTATAAGAAGGTTTTTGTAATTTTAAGAATTGATACTGAGATCGCAATTAATCAGAGAAGCAGCCATAATTGGGTTGATATGCCCAATTACTAGCTTACGAGCAATTTATGATTTTCTGATAAACGACAGGAAAATGCATCTAATTTGAGCACTGCTGCACTGGCATGATATGCCATAGCCTTTACACTAGTAAGCTAATGCTATCACATGTGTAAGTGTCCGTGCGCTACATCCAGAGGAATCCAAGCCCCCTGGGTCATTCACCAGCAAGATGAAAGAAACTCAATATATTGCCAAAGAGAAGGCCAAAGAATGAGGAAGGAATAAAGAGAGAGGGGAAAAAACCCCCCGATCTAACCTAGTTTATGACAACAATCCACCTTTGAAACTCATTAAAGGCCTTTCTGGTGGGGCCTGACGCACATTATCAGCACAGATTAATCAAGGGAGACGGGAGATGAACTCTCATTTTTTAAGAGGCAGCAACAGAGGGCTTTTTTGTCTTCAGATGAAAATCAATTAGTGGAGGTAAGGCCACAAGGAAAAAGCGGCATCACTCATCGCCGGCCCAAGTGGCAGAGTCTGTGATTTGTCTTCCGAGCTCGGCTGCTTAAGGGGGGCTGGTACCGCTGTCTCCCAGAAAATTAATTTCATATCTATATTCCGAATATTCCCCCCCACCCATTCACTCATGTGCGCCATCTCTTGGCCTTGTTTTTGAGTACCCCGTACACAAATGAGCTCTGATCAGCCTTGGGATGCTGAAGTGGTGTGAATCAACCAGAGGAGGAAGTAAATCTACTTACCTAATTGAATTTCGGTGTCTTATGAGTTGTTGTTTTTTTGTTGAAATGCGTGTTGTTAATGTGTAAGATGTGAATCAGTGGTGAACTACTTACTTGTTAGACGCCTTGTCCACAACCAGGCACTGCACTGAGTGTCGCAGACAATAAATTCCTCCAAATACGGCACACATTCTGTAGGGAGACAAAAAAAGTAACACCTTACATACACTTGCATTTATTTATATGACATCCAGTCTGTATGGACCCGCTAAACAGCTGTAATTGCAGCTGATGGCATGACATTAAAAGGGCTGATCACACCTTGTCCACACGGAAAGGACAAAATCCAATTCATTTGACAAGGCAAAAATGTCACCAAGATCTTAAAATGTGTTAACTTCACAAGTAAAGCTTTTTGTCATGTAGTCTCGCGATCTTGTGGTGATAAAGTATAGCAGCATAATTAAACTATAAACAAGGACAAAGTGACTCAAATATTCTTAAGCTTGGAGACAATGTCAGACAAAAAGATGGATGGACAGACCGACAGACAGAAGCTGTGATATAATAGCTGACTTTGTGTGATTGCACACAGTTGAATTATTAATATTAAGAATAACACAATAGTAAAAGTAACTATTTATATATTGGTGTCTAATATATTGCCTTTTTTGGAGTTTTACAAAGGTAATAAGCAATTAGAGGCTGTGAGTTACTGACACTTTAGATGATTACACCCTCAACCACAGTAAAAATAAGTTTACTGCATACTCTCTCATGGGTTAAATTAATGAAAGAATGAATGAATAAATAAATAAAGACGATTTATTAAAATTATAGATCTATTAATTTTTCATGATTTGCCATCGTATTTTGTAATTGTTTTTGAAAGGATTCGCTTATGCTCACGAAGGGTGCATTTATTTAATCAAAAACACAGTAAAAATATACATTCAAAAATTGTGAAATATTACTACAGTTAGAAATGTATTTTCAATTTAATTTTAAAATTGATAGCAAAGCTAAAATTTTCAGCATCATTACTTCAGTCTCACAAGATCCTTCAGAAATCATTATAATATGCTGATTTGTCTTATCATTAGTATTAATTATGTTATTATTACCATTTACTATTATTATCAACATTGGAATAAATAACAGGAATTAATTATATTTTAAAATATATTCAGACAAAAATCTATGAAACTGTAATATTTCACAATATTATTGTTTTTACTGTATTTTGATGAAATAAATACAGCCTTGGTGAGCACACATATTTAGAAAAAAAATAACCTTTATTAACATTTTCGTTCATTAACAAGGCATAAATATACATTAAAAGAAATCCTGGGGGTACACACCCGTCACCTTGTATGCCACAGGCAAGAAGGCCAAAGGTGAGGTACTAGGCCACATAAACATGTTTAAAGACACAGATGGTGAGATTTTGCTGTTCACTCCAAGGGGAAAAAAACTTCTGGCCTTGTCTACCCAGATTAATATAGAGACATGGCATCTTAATAAAGTGCAAAGATAAAAAAAAAACAAAAAAAACAGAGAGGCTAAATCTGCCAGCAATCATCTGGGCCCATCTCCTGTCCTCCACAGAACCCCATAGAGGCAGCGGGGAAGCCCTTTGATATCATTAACCCTAACTGACAGACGTTTAAGCTGATATTACTCTAATTAACTGCCCGCTGTCGGTCGCAATGATGCAGTTGGGCGGAGTGCGTGGGTACTGCCTTTCCCTCTCCAGGCCCCAGCACTCGCCCTGGCGACATCACTCGCCATCACGGCTAAATTAACAGTTGTGAAAATCCAGTACCCCCACAAGCCCCTGCTCTTTATAGCCTCTAAATGGCATTTCAGTTCCTATCAAGACGGGAATCAGGGGACGTGATTTTTTAATACGGTAGCAAAACAATGGAGGCCATTAATAGCCCAACGCCATGACAGCGCGCTCACCGATGATTTATGAGTTTGTGTATAATTTGATTATGCTATTAATTCCACTGATTACAGCTGCAGCGAGTGTGGAGAAGGTCACATCCAAAATAAATCTTCGACAACTCCCTCTTTCTCGTCACCTAACACCCTACCCCCCCTTCACCCCGCCGACATCCCCACAAAACAACTGCCTCCAACTAGTTATTTCTGTAATTAAAAAGTAATGTAACAAGAAGCACAAACAAGCTTCGGGCTCTAATGGCAACATCACGGCAGAGCTTCAAATAAATTGAACAGAGCCTTGTAAGGACGGAGGCTTTTTTCATGCCGCAGGAAACGCAACGGTATGATATCCTAGCGTTTTCAGAGATAACAGGTTGAGATAGCTGAAGGCTGCAATCCATAACGAATTTCACTTTGCCAGTTAAGATGCTCTACTTTGTGTTACTGATATTGATCTATAAAAAGGATATTAAGGTGAATTTTAAAAATTCTTAAAGCTACTTGGTACTATAAGCTTCAATTTGTGCAAAAATATTAAACATACACTACTGTTCAAATGTTCACTACTGTTCAAGAGTCAATAAGATTTTAATGTTTTTGTAAGTAGTCTCTTATGCTCACCAATTATTTTGTCAATAATACAGCAAAAACAGTAAGATTGTGAAATATTCTTACAGTTTTTAGTGTCACACAATCCTTCAGAAATCAAATCTAACGTGCTGATTTGGTCCACAAGACACACTCATTGCTTAATATTTTTGTGGAAACTGTGATAAATTTTTTCCAGGATTCTTTGAGGAATAGAAATTTCAAAAGAACAGAATTTACAGTGGGGGAAATATTTATTTGATCCCCTCCCGATTTTGTAAGTTGGCCCACTTTCAAAGAAATGAAGGGTCTGTTTTAACGTATAGAGACAGAATACCAACCAAAAAAATCCAGAAAAATCACATTATATAAAGGTTAGAAATTGATTTGCATTTCAGTGAGTGAAATAAGTATTTGATCCCCAAGCAAAACATGACTTAGTACTTGGTGCAGAAACCCTTGTTGGCAAGCACAGAGGTAAGACATTTCTTGTAGTTGGTCACCAGGTTTGCACACATCTCAGGAGGGATTCTGATCCACTCCTCTTTACAGATCCGCTCTAAATCCTTAAGGTTTCTTGGCTGTCGTTTGGAAACTCGAAGTTTCAGCTCCCTCCACAGATTTTCTATAGGATTGAGGTCTGGAGACTGACTAGGCCACTCCATGACCTTAATGTGCTTCTTCTTGAGCCACTCCTTTGTTGCCTTGGCGGTATGTTTCAGGTCATTGTCATGCCGGAAGACCCATCCATGACCCATCTTCAGTGTTCTGGCTGAGGTTCTCGTCCAAGATTTTACAGTACAAGGCCCCGTCCATTTGCCCCTCAACGTGGTGAAGTCATCCTGTACCCTTAGCAGAAAAACAGCCTCAAAGCATAATGTTTCCACCTTCGAGCTTGACAGTAGGGATGGTGTTTTGGGGGTCATTTCTCTCCCTCCAAACACGGCGAGTCGAGTCAATGCCAAAGAGCTCAATTTTGGTCTCATCTGACCACAGCACTTTCACCCAAGCTTTCTCTGAATCCTTTTGATGTTATTTGGCAAACTTTAAACGGGCCTGTACAAGTGCCTTCTTGAGTAGTGGGATCCTGCAGGATTTCAGTCCATTGCGGCGTAGTGCGTTACCAATGGTTTGCTTGGTGACTGTGGTCCCAACTGCCTTAAGATCATTAACAAGCTCCTCCCGTGTAGTTCTGGGCTGATCCCTCACCTTTCTCATCATCACCCTTACCCCATGAGGCGAGATCTTGCACAGAGCTCCAGACTGAGGCCGATTGATGGTTGTTTTGTATTTCTTCCATTTCCGAATAGTCGCACCAACAGTTGTGTCCTTCTCACCAAGCTTCTTGCTGAAGGTCTTGTAGACCATTCGAGCCTTGTGCAGATCTACAATCTTGTCTCTGACATCCTTTGACAGCTCTTTGGTCTTGCCCATGGTGGTGGGAGAGGTCGGAATGGAAGATACAGATTGTGTGGACAGGTGTCTTATACACCTAACGAGCTAACATTAGGTGTAACTTCTTAAAGTGACAGGACTAATCTATGTGCCACATGGGCACATAACCAATCTGTGGGAGCCAGAATTCTTGCTGGTTGGTAGGGGATCAAATACTTATTTCACTCATTGAAATGCAAATCAATTTCTAACCTTTATATAATGTAAAAATGCACAAATGAGCACACACCAACTCACTCCTTCAGGTTAATTAGACTAAGCCTGTAAATAAGCACCATCAGAGTTCGTACTAATAAAGCAAAATTAAATTCCTTTCTGGAATTAAAAAAAATTTATTAACTTTTTTTTGGGGGGGGGGGGGGTTTCAAGGACTAAAATCAGATATCTCACTTATCAAACAATATCGTTATTGTCTTTAAAATTCTAATAAATAAACAAAACGGTACAAATAAAGTGTACCGCATGCATCGAATGTGGCAACTTTAACATTTGAAAGGATAATATGGCAAAGTTATTGCTTATTTTAGTTATATTTCCTTATTCAAAATAATTTAATATATATATATATACTGCCTTTTAAAAATTCAAGTACTTTTCAAGTACCTATTCATAAACATGGCTGTTTTCAAGAGTTTTCCAGGATTAAATTTCAAAAAGCTAAATTCAAGCACCTTGTATGAACCATGTACTCTCTAAATCTTAAAATAGGCAGAAACCATTAGAAAATTATGTTTTCACCCTTTGTGTTGTGTTTCACCCTGTGTGAGTCCCTCAATTGTTCACAGTATGAAAAAAATTATCTCCAAATCATAGTCATTGTTTTAAAGGGTTCAGATATGAAGAATATGCTGGAAAACCAAAGCATGTGCAGGACATGGAGGATTTTTCTAAAGAACAGTGGGCTGTTTAATTGCTCAGGACAAACAAGGGACTCACAAACAACTTACGAAACTCATCACAAAACAAAAAAGAAGTTGTGGATCATCCAAGTAATGGCAACAAGGTAAAGTTCACTTACTGTTCCCACAGCACTGAGAATGTTTAATAGGATGCTCGACAAAAACATGAATGATTATAACTCTTTGTGTGTTAAGCACACCGTGTTTGTCTAAACATAATAAACTTGGACATTTTATGACCATTTAATGCAAAAAAATAAATAAAACTAACACAATTCCAGGGTTCACATACTTATG